TTGCAAAGGTGAACATGTTAGAGATGCATATAATCATTATGTTATTCTAAGATGGCTAGAAAGAAGATGTGCTGAATGTAACTTTAATATGTAACAAGTGTGGTGTTAGGAATAGATATTTCTTTGTTCTCGGACAGCTAGAAAGAGGCCCTGCTGAAGGGACATTGCTTAATGCCAAGTAAGATAAGAAAAAGTCATGTCGGGAAAATATGTGATGGGGAGGTGTTGAAGGAGATGATGTGGTCTCCATAAGGCATTTTGGATTAGCTATGCTCGGTCACTGGGTCGATGTAGGAGGGACATGGGGGCGTTGGGATAGAAAAATTATAAGATGTAATGTATTGAAATCTTAAGGGGTGGTTCTTAGCTCAAACCTCATGTTGAGATAAGCTAAGATCCTACCACTCTTTGCAAGCAGCTTTTAAACTTTTGTCTGCTTTGATTTAAGCTTACAAATAAAATCTCTGTGTTTTCACCAATCCAAGTTTTTGTTATTTGGAGTCATTTCCAACATCTCCTCCTTACTTTCTCCAGTACAGTCTCCATAGTTATTGTTCTGTATTGTCATTTTGCTGGTAAGGTTGAAAATCAGATGGAAAAACTAAGATTAACCTAAAATGGTGGTGAAGTCAGATGAGGCTGAGTAGGTATGATTGAAGCCAACCTCCAAGGAGAAAGACCTCTAAAAATTAAAACCAGATAATGGCAGGCAAACTGCTTTCCAGATATTCTTTTCATCTGCTCTTCCAATGAGTGGCATTTGTGGAAATGTCAGGCCTTCTAGCAGCATACTAAAGCTATATGCTGTGGAGTATTTGGCTAGGATGAGGGAGAGTAGAACAAGAAGAACTGTCCACTTCTACAAAGTATTCCTTCTGGCTTTCCATCCATATCCCTTCTGGGTATGAAACCAGAGGTGCTTCCAATTGTCCACATTGCCAATCATCTGCCTGAACAATGAGATTGCAAGATGGATAATATTTAGAAGGAGAAGGGAGGAAGGAGAGAAAACTCCTTAATTAAGCATGGTGAAAACAATGATTTGCAGATTAGTACAGTGACCCATAATATCTACTCAAGACACTTGGATCAGTATAAATCCAGCCAATGCCATGCTAGATCTTCTAGAAATTATTATGTTCTAATTCCTTAATTCATAATTTAAACAAAAGCAGAAAATCTGTGGTTATTACCTTATAACGTCCTTTCTTGTAAGACTAGTGTCAGCATACATTTTCCCTCTGTCTCTATCTTTTCATGGCACGAAACAGATATCTGTTCTTTGGATTAGCACTTAACGAGAAAATGTTTTTATTGTCCTAAACTTGGGTGGTTTATATTATTGTTTGTGGGTCCACACACACAATTTTGGCAAAGAAGAACACATAGACATAAAAATGAATGTGCTCATTTTCCTATGAAAACTTCTCAATACATTTTTCTTATACATCTTCTCCTTACATTCACTATATTTAAATGCAAGGAAGCTATAACCTTTATTTTTAAAATGCAATAATGGACTGTGCGGAACTAGATAAATTCACTATGAAACTGAAAGGCAAAGAAGATTGAGCCCTTTTGCAAAGCAAGACATTTTAGTGTACACAAATTCAGACTGCCTTTTTTCTCTTTTTTCCACATGGTTTGCTTCTACTAATAAAAATAGTAATCAAAGTAAATAAGACAGGGCTCTATCAAAATGAGGCCATAAACAAAGAAACTTTTCTCAAGAAGCTCTAATAAAGAAAAAAGATGTAATAAGTTTCCTCAAGAAACACACAATCCATAAGTCTGAACCTTAATACTTGTACCTGTACTAGATCCCCATTATAAGGTCCTGTAGAGTAGACTAGATCCAGAAGATCACATTAGAGTCCTTAATACCATTGTTAAACCAGTATTACTGGGCAAAAGATTCATTACAAGGCTGTGTCTGCCCATCTCTCTTCTCTATACCTTGAATTCAATAGCTCCCTTATTTTTCATCCACAATTATATCCCCAAACCAACTAATATCAGATTATAAGAAGTTTTGGCTTTTAGATGTTACTTATTTAGTTATTTAATCATTATATCTATATATCTATATCCATCTCCACCCACAGGATTCTAGGGTGGTGCATTACCTTCAATAAAACAACAATTTTATAGAAATGGAAAGAATAAAACAACAAGCCATTAGCTACTCAGAACAATAACATGATCTTTTTTTAAAAAAAAAAAAAACTAACACACTTGGACAAATAAAATTGTTTCCAGAGAACAATTGGACAGAATGTGTTCTACAGAGATGTGTCCTTGATCCCCATCAGAATTACTTGTGAAATAATTATAATTTATGAGTGGTTTAGAACTAAAAAGAAAATAAAATGCCAATTAGGAAAAGAATGAGGAAATATGTTATAGAAATGATTGGAGTGTAAGATGAAATATATTGATTTGTAACAAGAATAAGATGTAATGGTAATGGAATAAGTAACCATATATTGAAAAATGTAAGGAAATGTAAAAGATGTCTTGATGTTGATAACAATACATATCATTTTATTTTATGTTTTTAAACTTTGGAATATCAATAAAATATTTTTAAAAAAGAGTTACTTGTGAAAGCCGTATATTTGAGAAAGATGGGGATACTTTCCTGTGTGACACAATTCATTGGTCAATCTGTTTCTGTTTAAAACAAACAACCAAACAAAAAATATGTTGTCTTGATTTTTCAAGGAGCATCCATTACAATGACTTGCTCAGTTGCAATTTCCACTCACTTGGAAGAAAACACTTGGAAAACACAGTAGCCCAGAGCACTTCTAACTCTGCCATATCACCATCTCCTAAAATGATAACAGAAATGGTGCACATACTCTCCCACACCTCCAGTAAAACTAATCATTCCATTACATTGCAGGTTTGGGTTAGAATTAAATATACCACTGTCAGGCACAAAAAATCAGAACCATGGGTTAAGTTGCAGTTAAGAAAATGTATTGCTCGAGCCCAGGGGTGTCAAACTCAAGGCCCGTGGGCCAGATCCAGCCCCTGGGGTAGTTAGATCTGGCCCATGGGGCCGCCCTGGAAACAATGAAGGACTAGCCTGCAGTACCTCTGCCAGCAAAAATGGAGCTTGTGAGGGCCACATTTTACTAGCAGAGGGTTGCAGGAGGCCATCGCAGCCGAAAATGGAAATCAGGAGCTCATTTTCGTTGGCAGAGAGCTCGAGCCACCACAGGTGCCCTTGACATGAGTGACATCAAGCTGACCATGCCCAGCCTGGCCCCCTGAGGTCAAACACAGCCCTGCTGAGACCCTCAGTGAAATTGAGTTTGATACCCCTGCTCAAGTCTATATACAAGAATCTAGTCAACTAACGTTCAGTATTAAACGTGCATTACAAAAGGGTCAATGGAATTCATGAGAGAGTTGTACCATTTGTGGCAATGTAAGTACTCTAAGCTGATGACTCACTTAACTCTTCCCCTCAGCCCTGCCTGTTCTTCTCCTATAACCACTCATCAAAATCCAATGTAACTTACATAACACTCTTCTGTCTAAGGCTTACTTTTATCAATGTTATTAATGGCTTTTAAGGTCTCCCTTTAGCTTATCTATTGCCAGCCTTTTCCCAATCATTTGGGAAGGCTGGACATTTAAATTAATGAATAAGCTTACTTTCAAAAGACTATGGTTATTCTACCACACAGTGCTCCTTGTGAATGGCAGATGATGTTGACAGATGGCTAGGCCCACGGATTTAGTCATCCATGGAAACACACTTGAGTTTTCTTTCCCACTTTGCTTGCACAAAGCCAATCAACTCAGCTCCCTCCACCCCACCCCAGTTTGCTCACAACCCCCTGGGGATGGCAACCCATAATTGGAGAACAGCAGTGATCCAAACTCTATTTAAGAATAGTGGAGGAAATATGCTCAGATGTGCCCCCTTGAAGATTATTGCATCATGAACAAGCTTCCTGTGGAGAAAACTATATGTATGTATTGGGAGTGGGGGAAGCTCCTTTTTTGCAATGTACTTTAAAAAAGAACATTTGGCTTTTTCCAAACAAAAAACAAAAACCCTGTTTTATGTGAAGTGTGTAAGGCCGCTGTCATTTGAACGCCATATCTGTTTTTAGTTACTAAAAAAAATGCAATTCATTCTCTCATTATGCATTGCCTTCATTATCTGGCCTCTGCTTAATAGCAGAAACTTTCCTTTATTCAATCCCTGTCATGCCATAGCATATAACTTTTATATACTGTTGTTGCTTTCTATCCCCATCTAGTGGCTGGAGGGACAAATATACCTCAACAAATATGCCCCATATGATCTTTATATACTGTTGTTGCTCTCCAGCCGCATCTAGTGGCTGGAAAGACAAATACCAAATATATTGTTTGAAGCTGACCCCACCTCTTTACCCATCAGCCGGCACTCTCAAAACAAGTGCACACTGTGAAGCCAGACTCCATTTCCTTTACTATTTGGAGAAGGCAGAAGCACAAAGAAGAATAATCTGTGGCACATAGTCATTCAAGGATTAACCCACATCCCACACACAGAACATCGCTGGTGAGATTTAAATTGCTTGTATTTATTAATTGTTATGTTCAACAATAACTCAATACTGTCTATCTTGTATTTGATTCTCATTGTATGTATCCCTATTTTCCCCAGCTTCACCCTATCCTGTTCTTTCAATAAAGCATTCAGATCTATGCATGCGGTCTGTTTTATTGGAGGGTAGGTGGACTTAGCTGCATGTTGAGCTGCACACAGAACAATCCCATTACAGCTACAGTTGGTTACCAACCTAGAATGTAGATGGCCAATAGGCAGCCTTTAGGCCTTCACTTAAGCCATGAGGATCTATCTACAAAAGTGCCTTCATTGCTTTGTCATTTGCTGTATTTCAACCACCTCCATCTCAAGCAGTTGAAAACTTTCCCGAAAAGTAACCATGGGACACGAAGGGGAAAGGGGGAGGACCCAATCTACTTACATGTAATGTAAGTGAGGATTCTTATCAAACGCTCGTGGCTGGATGCTTCGGAGCCCTGAGTTCGTGATTGTCCTGCAAAGAGATGCAAAAGGACAGTAAAAGCAACCCATAAAGAAAGAAAGAATTGGTGAAAGTCAGGAATTCAGAGATCTCATGTAACATTGAATCAGAAGAGATAATTGGAAGACTATCCTGCCAGGCTGAATCTGGAGACCTTTAAAACATCCCCCTTCATTGGGGAACGAATCTGTCAAGATAGTTTTTTCTCAGTACCTGGGCAGCCAAATATGTCAACTACAATTATTTGAACTTCAGTTTCTTTTTGGAATAACTTTTCCACTACAATTCAAAAGCATTTAGTGCACATTTGTGCAAACGTGCCTCTCTCTTTTTTGGCAATTCTGCCCAAGGTACACAGATTTTTAAAACATTTTCCTTAATGTAATACACTTTTATGTCTGTCTGTCTGTCTGTCTGTCTGTCTGTCTCTCTTTATTTATCTATTATCTATTTCTCTATCTATCATCTCTCTCTTTCTCTATCTATCCATCCATCCATCCATCCATCCATCCATCCATCTATCTATCTATCTATCTATCTATCTATCTATCTATCTATCTATC